TCGGCGAGTCGCATGAAGGGTGCGCTGCATCCTGCTAAGGGTTTTCGGCATCTTGTGTTTACTTCCTTGCGTACGGATGACAGCTGCGAATGACTTAATTTATTTTTCTGGTGCTTCACTTCCAGAGACAGTTAGTTGTAAGCACTGTGTAACTGCTTCGAGGGTGCTTGACCATTATAACACAATGTGGTGCGATCATCCCCCTTGCGCGGAGCGAGGGTTCTCCACCCCGCACAACATGATCTACTCGAACACCATTATGGTTACCGCCAAAAGAAAAAAACGGAGGTAAAAAAAAAAAAACGGTAATAACCTGGTTGCCGAGTTCACGAAGTGAATTGGCTTGTTTTACAGCGTCTTTGCCAAGCGACGAAAACCCAATTCCGATGGCAAACACCGAGGGGGACGGCTTGTTTTACAACGTCGTTGCCAAGCGACGAAACCCCAACCCCGATGGCAAACACCGAGGGGGAAGACCACTATGGGAGGTGGTAAAAAATAATAGAGTGGAAAAAGAAAAAACTGTGAACGGACCATAACCGCAGAAACCTGTTGTTTTGGATCATGACCCGAGTGGATCCCCCGAGCATCAGGCGACAAGGCAACATTGAGCACCCATGGAACAAGAGAGGTGTTCAACGTCTTACTAGTGACCTGGCCACTCATTCGAGGTGAGGGCGCGGAACGACTGGATGAATGCGTTGAAAATGTTACCAAACGATGTTGTTTGCTCAAGAACAACTAAAAAGATATGCTGCGATTTGAACAAAAGTCTAGACTACAGAGAAGATGCGCCTGTCATCTTTGGCTGACATTAATGATTGATGTGCAACTCCTGGACGAGTTTCTTCGTGGACGCTGCCTTTCTGAAGGTTTCTCTTTTTAGAAACCGGATGCTTACTACGGTAACACTCTCGAGCACGAGGCACAACCAGAACAAAAATTCTGAATAATGAAGACGTGCAGACCCTTGAAATAATATGTGGTGCCGACGATGACAAGGCCAAAGAACGAAAATCCGAAGAAAACCTACGATGACAGAATACTTACTGCTGAAGTACAAAATATTTTAACTACGTAAACGCGAAAGAAGTCACATGAAAATACCCCTCAAGCAGAGTTCTCCCCGATGAGCTGACAGGGCCTAAAGTATGTTTGTCGTTTGGCGACAGGCTTCCACCGGATGGGCTGCAGCGGCACCAGCGGCGAGATGGGTGACCCGCGGCGGCAGATATTGCCTCGCGGCGGCGGTGGGGGATACGACCGGGGCGCAGGCCCTCGTGGCGGCAGCAGCAGCACCGGCGGCGAGAGGGAGGACAAACGGCAGTCATGTGTTCCCCGTGACGCCGGCAGGGGGGACGGCCGGGGTGCAGGTACTCGAGGCGGGAGCGGTGCCATCGGTAGCAGCAGCGGCGGCGAGCGTGGTGGCCCCCGACAGCAAAGTCTTCCCCGCGGCCCCGATGGCGGCGGGGGAGGCGGCCGGGGCACCGACACTCGTGACAGGAGCGGCGCGGGGTCGAGAACTCTCACTTCGCGCAAGGGAGATGATCGCACCACGTCGTGTTAAAATGGTCAAGCACCCTCGAGGCAGTTACAGTTACACAGTGCTTACAACTGTCTCAGGAAGTGAAAGCACCAGAAAATATATTAATTCATTCGCAGCTGTCATCCGTACGCAAGGAAGTAATCACAAGATGCCGAGCACCCTTAGCAGGATGCAGCGAACCCTTCATGCGACTCAGAATATCTCACGGCGCTTCGCGCTTGGTGATGTGAGAGCCTGGTCCGGTGAGAACCCGGCGTGCTCCGTCTCGGCTTTGTAGGGATGCGAGGTCAATGGTCTAACGACACGGCATGCACGACTATGAGTACACCCCCCTCCCCCGCCCCGCGGGTGCTAAAAATTATAGTCTAAAATGCAATGTTTGTGCCCCCTTTGGTTGGCGAAAAAGTGAGAAGGTGAAAAAAAAAAACTGTGAACGGACCCTGGAGCCAGGATATCGTGGTATGCCGCATCTCCCAATTTGATTAGCGTACACTCCCAAGATCCAACAGTCATTGTGTCAGCAGCTAGATGACTCAAACAAAACAGCAACACATACACTGCCATAGCTCCACACATGCCCTCGCCCGAACCTAGGAAGCCACTGATGCAAAGAGCGGAGGACAGCAAAATGGTTATTTCAAGCCCAGCCAAAGCCAGGATATCGTGGTATGCCGCATCTCCCAATTTGATTATGGTACACTCCCAAGATCCAACAGTCATCGTGTCAGCAGCTAGATGACTCAAACAAAATAGCAACACATACACTGCCATAGCTCCACACATGCCCTCGCCCGAACCTAGGAAGCCACTGATGCAAAGAGCGGAGGACAGCAAAAGGGTTATTTCAAGCCCAGCCGAAGCCAGGATATCGTGGTATGCTGCATCTCCCAAGTTGATAATCGTACACTCCCAAGATCCAACAGTCATCGTGTCAGCAGCTAGATGAATCAACAAAACAGCAATAGTCTACATACACTGGCGTAGCTCCACACATGCCCTCGTCCGAGCCTAGCAAGCCACTAGGAAGTCACGAGGGAGCCAAGTCCTGATCGCAGGTTATCTTGGCTTTTTCCTTCAGTCGAACACGTCCAGGAATCCAGTATCCGCAGCCGCCGCAGTAGTACTGTTCTGCTGTGTAGCAGTTTCTCTTGGCTTTTCCTTCAGGTGAACACGTCCAGGAATCCAGTATCCGCAGCCGCCGCAGTAGTACTGTTCTGCTGTGTAGTAGTAGTAGCAGGAGATCCAGGTTGTACGCCGGTTGTCCAAACAAAAGATTTGTGATTCCGTGAGAGAAGGAGATACCACCGCCGTCGAAGGGTCGAGGGCACTGTCTGCCAGATGTAGGCTGTGAGATAGATGGTGCCACCTATGTGTTCTTAGCCTGCCCGCCCGTGAGGGTCGTGACGAGGCCGCCATGTGTGTGTGTGTGCTCTTATTATTAGCATCGACCGCGCTATCCGGCTGACCAATGGAAAGACGTCAGTCTCAGTGCGGCGGGAAACACAAAATGTTTCTATAGTCCACTATCTGAGACCCCGGGACCGAGCGTCGTAGGGGGAGCTACGCTATTCTCAGGATTAAAGACAGATACCGTACTAATAACAGAAGAAACTGCACGTGTCANAAGCTCTTGCTCTCTTCCACGCCATAATTCCCTTCTCGACTGCTGTCTTGGTCACTGTCTTGTCCTCCTCTTGTTCCCTCTGTTCCTCCTCCTTCATCGTTGCTACTCGAATTTCCCTCGTCGCAACTACAAGGGCCAAAACAGGAACAGCAACTGTTTCGATACACACCGCCGGTAGTCGTTTTTTGTCAGATCCATGCCAAAATTCAAGAAGGTTAAACAACCGGCCTTTCTGCGACCCTTGCAATACCGCCATCCCTCGACCAACAGGAAAAAAAAAAACACGCAGCCAGAGTCATCCGTGCATCTATGCAAACATTTCTATGCGGCTGCAGTCAGTCATTGTTTGACACTATTTGAGCAAGTTTTCATCAACCTGGGTCCAACGTTTCCACCCACCACACAGACAGATCAACGCTGATCAACGTTGGTTGGTGGGAAGGGGGCATGATATATGTCGTCTAGTCCTGCGATCACAGTTGATCAACTTAGACCAAATTTCGTCATTTTCCATCAGCTCAGCGTCGATGAAAGTTTTGTGACAGTATACGGTTTACGTGTTGCATTTTTTATGGCGCTTCCATAAAAGTTCCATCGCGATTTCATAACGAGTTGTTGTCAAAGTTTAATTCAATGTTGCTGCCGAATCATTAAATACGGAACGGTCGGATATAACTGCTGTCTGCTTCTCTCTATTTGGTCTCTAAAGTACGTACGAACCGCAAAGGGTATGTATGTATGTATGTCGTTACGAACCAGGATTTATCACATCCGATCGGGCTTCGGTCGTCATTCCTCAACATCTTGTCAGCATTGATTGGTAGAACTATCCCGGCTAGTGATACACATCTCATGGCATGTTATGAAAGTCGCAGCAGAATCTCATCTCGACGCGCTTTTATAAGTATCGATACAACTTTCGTCGACTCTCATCAGCTAAGGTCGACATTGATCAGCGTTCATCACACTGTCAAATCATTACTGTAGTACGTTTGCTCGACACTTCTGGCCACACTTCCATCACCATGAAACAATACTGGCAAAAATAAATAAATAAATACTGATCAATATTCGTGAACACTGCCCGAGCTCCGGAAAATACTCATCGGTGCCAATCCAAGTCGGACAGCTTCCACGAAATGATTACCATAACCTCATCATCACTGTTTCTCACGTCGTCCACTATTGCTATATATATATTCAACATCGACCAATTGTGACCATTTTTTATCAACTATAGCTATGGCTGGAAGTGTACGCTGGTATTGAAGGTAATACGAACGCTGACCAATGTCGATCAATATTGGGCACAGTTGGATCCATCCTGGTGGTACTTTCATTACAACTTTCATCACAATTGTGCCGTAGTTTTTATGACAAGTACCATCGCAATTGCCATCGCAGCGCAACATTGGCCGCACATGGAGGTTTTATCGCAGTCGATGGTTATTCGGCCAGTTCGCACCCCATTGGACTACAATTGGGTACAAGGCACATCAGTATTCTTCATCACTGCAGCCGGCAGAAGCTGCATAGGAACAGAGCTTGCCCACCCAAGGCTGGCAGCCGTCAGGCTCGTCCTTCGAGCACTCGAAGACAGCGTTCGCGAAGACCTTGTTGAAGGCGTCGGTCGTGTGCAAGCCGTCCCAGAATATGTATTCGTCGGGGGAATCGCACACGGAGATTGTCGGTGGGTCTACCAGGCAATTCTGGCAAGGTGACATCTGGTCTTGGCACAGCACACACTCATCCGTAGGGCCATAGTTATCGCATTGCGCCCAGTCGAAAAGTTTCCCGCGAAGAGCCTGAGCCTGTTATTCAGGAACAAGCCAAATGAAAAATAAAAAAACGGGATGACGGTGGTTAGTGAGGAGATAAGACCCAGAGTAGGTACGCGAGGTACCCGCTTACATCTATCTTGGTGCACTCTCTTCATAGCAATGTTTTTCGTTATTTTGCAAGCACGAACACTGCTGAAACAACGAAGATTCCCTTTTTGAGCAACGTACTTAGACATTACCATCGGCTTCGGTCGCGACCAGCATGGCTTCATTGACAAACAATGGCGCACTAACCTGGGAACCCAAAATATCCGTGGAAGAATCAACGTGGAAGTTGTAAGTCAGGCACTGCTCGGGAGTTGAAGGAGTCTTGAAGCCCTCCTCATTGAAAATGTCGCGGTCATGGACGGAGGACTGTAGCCAAAGATGGATAAGCCCAAACAGGAAAACACGAGAGTTATTGAGATGGGTTATTCCAAAGGGGCATAATCTGTTTCCCACGTTGGGGTTTAGGGTTGCCTTTGACGCAAGGAAATGGAGTTAGTTGCGGTTGGATGCTGGCTCGCCCTGCCAATACCTCGAAACGAGCGGTCCGGGGTGAGCTCTAGACTACTAGGGAATTTCGAAAACAAGAGCATCTTTTATCAAGGAAAAGTGAACGGTTGATGAACCTCATGTGTACAATAGCATCGAAAGGAAAGTCGACTAGAACACCACGTTGAACTTGAAAAAGAGGAGGAAGGGATGGGCCGAAAGCACCAGAAAGCACCCATCCAACGCCAAATCATGTAACGCCTAGATTGTGCAACACACTGAGGATGACAACCTCCACTTACGTCGATAAGGCTGTAAAGATCGAGCACGCGCACTTGATCTTCTCCAGCGCTGGACAGCGCGGACAACTTAAAATCCAGCATGGTATTCATCTTCGTGATGAACTGGTCGTAGAACTCCGCTAGTGTTAAACCGTAGTAAACGTCAGGTGAATCGAATGCCTTGGGAAACAGAGGAGAAACATTTTCCAGACGTCGGGGGAAATCAAACGATAGAGACTGACGCCGGTGTACATCCGTAGTTCTTTGCCGCATCCATCCATTCGTTGGACAATTTTTTTGTCACATGTTCGCAGGCTATCGCGTACTCGGGAGATTTATTCAATTGTGCGTTTGGCGGAGCTGCCACTCGGATAAGGTCTCGTTCTCAGGAACTACACGAAGCAAACCCTGCGCCTGATACGGGGTTCGGTGGTTCCATAATAAAAAAAATTATCGCTGACCAAAGTGTGCGGTGGTTGCCCGCGACGAGATTCAGACTTTAAAGCCGGACATTTTCACGAGATCGCCGCATGTATAGTCTAATATGTATACAAACAACGGGGCGCTTCGAAGACGTGGGAGTCGAATTTTCTACTGTCTACCTCGTTTCGAGCAGAAGCGCTCTTCTACTCTGAGCCTGTAGCACCTGCAGCTGAATGATTCACCTACCGGGACTCCAAATGGGGACGGGAAGTTGGGTACGAGGATGCGGCCCGTCACACCCATCTCGATCAGGGTAGCCACTGCAGCAACTATGTCGTCTGTCACTCCCTGTATGGGCGAACAACGAGGGGATTACCCAAATGGAAATGACACAACGAATGTACGAGCAAACAACAGTTGGAACATATGGCCACCTACTCCCTGCAGAGGTACGCCACACACATGTTTCGCGCACCGACTGATTGTGGTATGCTCAGCTGTCTTCGCTGTGCCAGGACCGGGCACCGCCACCGGTACATTCATAGCTTCAAGGGCGGGCCAAGAAGGTTGGATGGATGCAGAAGAGGGTAATTTGCAGAAAAAGAGGCTATGAAACGCGCCATCTACCGTTGCAACACTCGTAAGTATAGCCAGATTTCGAAAATATTGCGATACGCATCAAATCCATTCTGTGAGCCACGGCCCTCAGGCTTCAGACACGCGTGTAGACCCATATCGCAAAATGTATCATCCTATCTTTCCGAGGACGCGGGTGACGCGATGTACCCAACCCTACTCCTCGACGGCAGTGTAGCAGTAAAGGGAAGGACCTCGTCTCACCTGCATCATGGTGACAAAGTTCATGTCATCAACGGCAACCGGTTCGGTGTACGTGACGCCAAGATACTCGGCTAAGGCCGTCCGTTGCATGGCTTCAGCCACATTGGAGATGTCGTTCATCCCGATGCCAATAAAGTGAGTGTATTCTGCACCGCGGGGAGAAGAAAAGGTTGCGAAGCGAGGTCATCAACACATGTGATTGTTGTTCCACACGGTCCACCAGACAAAAAAAAGCTCTAGCAGCAGGTCGATGCGAAAGTATGTAACGTGGTGATCTGGTTGCCTCAATAATGTAAATGGAGTTCGTTTCGCATACGAGGACGTCTTGAATGAAGAACGCCAAACAACAACATGAATGCTTCCTAGCCTTGTTTTACCTACGGTATACTCATCGGAGCTTTTGAGTGTTCATTGCCAACCCTGTCTGTGTCTCTAATCGTATACTTCATTGTCTTGGCACATATGTCGAGAGACACGAGCTGCGTGCAGACAGGGGGTTCGTAGATCGAACTGCTCCTAAGTCTGTTGGTAAGACCAACACTCTTCTTCACCTCTACTGCATCCGATCTTGCCGTCTTCCCGCGAGAAGTCCTTGAGGTACTTCGTCATCTGCTCGCCGAGAGTCTGAAGACACCGGCAAGGACGGACAAGGACACTTACGAACAGAGCATGAGGAGGTGCAATCTGGTGGAATGACCATTGCTCGCACACCGCTGTGGGTATTTCACACACCGCTTGATGAGTGGTAGTAGTGAACTTTTCGCTATCGCTCGAGTTAAACCTCACTCATACGGCGTAGATTCACTCACCCCAGTCCGCCTTCTGTTTTTTTCTGCTTTAGCAGTGTACCCAGTGCACAGCTGTTGAGAACGGAAGGTGTCCGTGGCAGTGCCGGACCCGGTGGCGTAGTTTTGCACCTGTTTCGCGTCGAAATGATACCCGTGCGTTGATACCCAGTGATATGCAACACTTCAAATTTCTAGCTTGACAACAAGGTTCGCGTTTGTCTTTATTGCGATGATGGCTAATTACCACGAAAGTGCATGCATGCAGCAGTAGCTCCTTACGTCTGCCGATCTTACTTTCGGAGAACGCTGTCCCAAGCTCACATTGGGTATGTTGAGGTACTGCGCCCACACCTTTCCGTTCGTGTTAGTACCTTTATGGTATACATCCACCATCCCCTGTGTAATTCCGTGCACGTGCGAAACCGTGTCAGAGAAACGATCTTGAACTACAGTCATCAGCATGCTTACACAAAAAAAAATTAAAATTTTTTAAATGCACTCGTGTGGTATCTGTTTTGGAACGAGCGATTGGTTTACCTGCATCTGACAAGAACTGAAATCCGGCGCAACCGCATCTCTTCAGAACAGAAGTCGCATGGCAACTACCGGGTGCATACGTAAATACTCGATGTATGTTGATTAACTGGAGGTCGTCAGGACTACGTACAGCAGTATGTCACGGACCACAACGATCAAATCCGTGAGATAACATAAGGTCGAGAAATCAGCCGAAGCAACACACACCCAACGTGCGCCAGAAAACTGAAGCTGCCCTGGCTTATGTCTTTGCACCCGCTCGCTACTGGGCGTGGGGAACAACCGATAGACGTGTGGTGATGTCTTACCGCGAGGGACTCCCATGATTGACCATTATTCCTGCGCAGGTTCACAGTACCAGGTAAATGTGGTATATTACAGACAGATGCGCGATGACGCATGGACGCAACGAGTCCCGCTCCAACGAACATTTTCGGTTTTCTTAAGGCCACGACTGACTACGGCTGGCGAGCACTGACGATCGCTAATGCAATGATGCGAGCAGGTTTTACCTCGCCATCGGCATCATAAACCTTCTCCCAAGGGTACACTCCAATGTCGGGGAAGCGATACACGTTAGGTGAGTTGAACCTCCTGCCGGCGTCCGAGTTCGAATCTCCAAACACGATAATCTGGGTGTGACGGGTAGGTGCAAGAGGATGGTTGAGTCAGACCGGAAATAACACACCATGATTTGATTCAGGTGGCACGGTACAAGGTCGTATGTACACATGCTAACACGCGAGGATAAACACATTTTTTCGAGGGGAAACAAGAATCTACTGTAGTTAGCGCATTGCATAGGCGCCCTCCCCCTTCGTTGTGAACGTTTTGGCGTACACATATAACTAGGAAATGCAGTCTAGCCCCATGATGTGTAAACACGGAATTTACGCACTCATCAATCAATGGATCATGAACAACCACAAGCCGGCAATGTCTGTAGAATTATTGGGCTGCGCAGTCCGCAAGTTCGTACAAGGAGTGCAGGTTTGTGAGTCACGACAAACCTTCGTCTCCTCACTGCCTCTTCCACAGGGGTAACCTTCTTTGCCCCGGACGCGATTTCCGCGGGCCCTCACGTCTTCTGCTCTCCGACGGTTGCTGGGCTCACCAATAGCGCCCTCTGCAGTCCCTTGTTCGCCCATGCCCTCGCTAAGTGACACATCGAAGGCTCCCCAGGCGCTGCTGATGGCGGACCATGCCACCAGGCCTGACATCAAAGACATCCTCGTCCACGACGCTACCATTGCACACTCTCCCTGTTCCCGTAGGTAGGTGGTCGGGATAAAAGTGTGAGGGATTGCGAGGGTACTTGTTCTATCCACCTCATTCACCAAACGCGTACTACCAAGATCTGAAGCCATTCGGTGCAATTTTTCAAACGATCGTTCCTACCGTAAAGAACATGTAAAAACCGCTCGGCGCAATATTGTACTGTAGTCGAAGAGGAACGACTCCCTAGAGCAGTAGTCTAGAATATATGTACTTAGACTAAAGACAAACCGCCTTCAGGAACAAATCTATTTGTCGGTAAACGGAACGGCATCGTCTTGCTCTACTGGTAGCCCATGCTGATGCATACTTGCGATAGTATAACAGGGCAGATACGCTGCAGGCATCGATGCTAGTGTATGGTGCTCCCTTCGAGTACGGCGCCCGCGCAGGATTGTTTTGTTCGTTCGGAATGTGGTTCAGGCGGTGGAGCTTACGCCGGTTGCACTGCTGCATCTCTCGGCTCTCCGCTCTTGGCCAGAACAAAAAATCAATCTTGGGCTCATTTCTTGTAGTGTTTGCGAGGAACGGCCACCATCTGTCTCCCGGTACAACGACCTTTACGACAACCACCACCACAAGAAGGAGAAGAGCCTATCCTCCATACAGCGGATGAGATTGTTATTCTCTCGACCCGGCTTCCCGAACACCCCATCCATCAACTGCACTCAAAGATGCGTGGAGGCGCAGAGATGCGGAGACAGGCAGACGACAGACGTGGTTCGACGGTCCGATTGTTCCCGCTCGGGAGGATCGATGGAGAAGAAATTTGCAGTGCGCAGTGCGGAATAACCGCCATCTTGTCTCCGGGTGGCCAGGTAGGCATAGGCGTATCCAACCGTCGTCTTGACAGCCACGCAAGAGAAGGAAACGCTTTTCATTCTTGGACGACAGGCAGTAGTGAGTGCTTGCTGTCTCTCCCTCCGGCTCCCCATCATCTCACCCACCATCCAGTGCAGTGATGTGGGACTGGATGATTGACATGTTCCCTCCTGGGAGATGCGACCCCACGATCCCATTGCTGTGCTGTATCCATGTCAACACTCGGCATTTATCCCTTCGAGATGCACATCTCGATCAGATCAGGTGGTATGTTGCCGCACAAAATGTTCTCCAAGAAACTTATGTGGGCGTGTTGGACAAGGTGCCGTTTGATGTATTGATGCGAGTCGTCGCCCGGCCCGACGTCGACAGAAGTCTGGAGCATTTCTTCCGCTGGTGCAGTCTTGGACGAGTGCGTTCAGCCATGACGTACTGTAGACTATGTTGTACAGACTATTTCGATACCACTATTGTAGGCGTCAAGTTCATTACTCGAGCGCATGACTTAGAAAGTCTGTATCTCCTTCGACAGCATGCTGGATGAACAAGATGCAAGTAGACTGCGATAAGGAAATTTCGCGATAGCGTTGTGGTACTCGATTGATATCTTAGTTGCCAGAGGACAAACAACGCTACGGCAACCCTTACTTCTGGGCGGGCCCGCCCGCATGTCACTGTCCAAAAGCCTTCACGACGCACCACTCCAGATCAAGGCCGAAACATTTGGAGCCTGCACCATTTCCTTTGCGGATGTTTTTTTATATTTCACGTCTGTCCTTGGCAAATCAAAACTGCTGTACAGCCGAAGGTTTCCTGCTGCTAACCTCCACGTTACCGTAGTGCACGGCAAACGTTGGACAACCTCGGCGTGGCTCCGGAAGGCATCCACCTCATCTTTTACAACAAAAAAACCCGTTTGTGACGAGATAATGAGGCTCGAAACAGCATCGATTGGCGACCGACGCCTGATAGCCAGAGTTACAAAACGATTAACGGTGTGAGGCATCGAGTAGATTTAGTCTATTTCTACAAAAAGTGTTCGCCACCCCTGAAAACAGAGACAAGCTTGAGACGAGCTTGAGACAGGCTTGAGACAAAACAAACCAACAGGTCCATTCTGCTGATCTATGCCTTGCCTGGCTTTTGTCAATGGCTATCAACCCGAAAAGGCCCCTGGCGTACAAGCGGGGTCGGGGACCAAAATTCACATGCCGAAAATACACAAACGCAACTCCCCCAAAGTTACCCCCAAGACAAGAACAAGAGGCCAACAAGATGAAACGTACGCACAGCAGGGCAGGAACTGGTCCGAACCCCGGTCTGCCAAAAAACTTCGATCGTACCCCCAACGAGAACGCAGGACGCTTCCATGAAGGGACCAACAACACGACACACGAAAGAAGCGAGACTAGTCTGGTCAGGACGGGCGTACAATGTGCGTACATCAGGACGACGTCAAAAATGTGCCCTCGCAGCACTCCCGCACACGGGGCCACCGACACGAGAGCGCATTTGTTTTTCGCGTCTACTATGCATCTACCTGCCTACCAACGAGCCGAAACCCTCTTGATGGTTGCATCAGAAGCTTTGCGTCAACAGCGTCAACAGCGCGGGGCACCGCTGATGGTACGTGCCAACCGTTACGCCCCCCGCGCAACCCATGTCCACCGCGACACTCTGGGCTTGACGAACGTGGAGATGATTTTGCACTCCAGCTCCCAAAACAAAATATAACCACGACGGCTAACAAAGACGCCGAACGTTTCCTACTTACAAATCCCAACAACAAGCGACATTTCGTGGGCGTTCGTCCGCGTCCCCCTCAAACTACACCTTGTCCCGACTCGTTCTCTTGTGCTGACCGCGCCCCTGGGGACGTGTGTCTTTCGACAAGCATGCACACATGAGATTCGATTGTCAGCTTGACTCCGGCTCCCCGTTGCATTGCATGCTACGAGACCTCAGCGATGGCGTCGAGGATAGCACCTCTGCCGGCGTTGTCTTGGAAAATTGCCCTGACAAACGGGAAAGCACCAAGGGCGCGCCAGAGCCAAGTCGACGAGACAACGACGATACAGATCAAATTCACTGCAGACGGGCGGGTGGGGCGTGAACTACGGCAGACGTTGCTTGCCGCGTCAGATGAACAACTGGCCCGGTAGTGAACGTACAGTCGTGGTCCCGGTTTAGCCGCTAGTTCTTTCCCTGTTTACCGGGATGCCCTGAATAGCGGTACCGAAATCTCGTGGCACGGGTGCACCTCGGTACTCAAACAACCATACAACTACCAATCCGGTTTAGCGGCGAGCCCTCAATAGCGGTTACAACATTGTGACACCGAGGACCGCTACCCGGGATCACGACTGTATTGCTGTGCAGCAGTAGCCCTCTTCTGGTGCGAGTCTTCTGCTTTGGTGGAAAGGGGAAAGGGTCCCTCTACAAGGCCGGTGAAAATCGAGTGACGCAGATGTGAGGTACTGAGGTTGCTCGTGCACTCTCAAAAATGCTCGGTGCACGGTAGGAGACCTCTCCAATCGTTTGGCACTCTGAGGCCTACTACAGAAAAGAGTAAAAAATTGCTGCAGTCATCCTGGTGTGAAATTGCTGGAAAATAGAAATTGTTGCTGTGAGAATCGTGGACATGTATCTACAACGTATATACACCTGATCAAGCCAACCAGCTCGTCGTTCGTTAAGGGCCGCAGCCCGTCGCCTTCATCCTGAAGTCGTTCCCCGATAGCATCTAGCCCAAGCTCCATCATCTGCATCAATGCACCAACAGCAGCAACGAAGGTTCAACCAGTCTTTCTGCGCGCTCATCCACCGCGTGGAGACAATGACAGAGGCTAACCGTCGGCAAGGAGTGCCCCCCCCGGGTGAACAGCAGGCAAGGATTCCCCCCCCCCCGGGTGAACAGCAGTGCTTGGGTGAAATCAACAGCGCGCCCTTCGCCCCGCCGTATCACACGCTCCCCGCACAAGCCCGAGCACCCAAACAACACGAGACGTGACAAGTTCACAGCCATTCTGGCACAGCGCAGGCGTGCACGTTGCACCCATGCTGAGAGCATGCGCCGCGACCTACGCAACACGATATCCTTGGCATTTGACACACTACTAACCCAACCAACTCGAAGGGAAAAAAAAACAGAACACGAGATCATCACAGACTCACAGCTGAACATCAAACGAGAGTGGCGGTATGTACATTGTATCCCATCACACCAAAAACACAAGCAGCTTTCGATACCCGACTGATCGAAAAACGCCTCTGGCCCCGCTCTCTGGACCTCTCTCTAACCAGCCGCACTACTCTATTCATGCTCATGATCAGCACGATGACCAAACCGGCACTGCTGCTGTAAGTCGAAGGAAACTCTAGCCTCCATCTTCTCACCTGCCCGACCACAACTGCTTTGCTCCAGCCTGGGGTATACTGCTCCGCTTCTGCTGGAGAGTCAAAAATGTCTTGGGCCTGCCGGAATTAACGTCGCGGGGTAATGGGGGCGATACCGTTCCGGATTCCGAACCGATGACGTGGTTGTTACGAATGGAGGTCTTGGTGTCGTACTGCTGTAGGAGTGAACGAAACGAAAAGTGAAGATACAGGAAACCTGCACCTTGCTGAGGAATGTGATCTGATATCTCGCCTATTCTCGTCCCAGTACATGTCCTGTGCTTCAATCTTGTAGATGTGTACGCATCGGGGGCGTTACATATCCCACGCGTTGCACATATCCACGCACGCACTCATACCCTCGTGTTGCCGATTCTGCAAGGCAAGTTTCTTACCAGAAAAATCACAAACGCGGCCCCGAAGTTACGACCGAAATCGAAGGCAAAAACGAACGCAATCAAATCGGGTCATGTCTCACCGCTTCTCCCAGCGTCTTGAATATCCTGTGGAGAGCGTGCGTTTGCTCCTCAGCCAAGTCTTGGGCGCCCATAACGGGCGTGCAAATCTTACCGGCCACCAGCGATAGCAGCGCCCCCATCGCGCGCTTGTACACACGGTGGGGGAGAACCTTGGACCAGGCCTGCAGCATCGCGCCGCAACGCGCAGCAAAAACAAGTTACAGTGGGTAGAGGGGGCGCCATCAACTCCGGTTCAATAGCGCCGTCTAGCGCCGTTGACATCGCTGGGCATAGACTGA